GGGTTTGTGGGGGGAGGTGCTCTGCTTTCCACATCCATTTCCCCTGTGTCATGTCTCTGTTTCTGCCTTTTAGGACTTCATGAAAGAGGAATCAATAGATTCTCTGGCCTCTCCTGTTCACTTCAGGGCCATGATTGCCATTAATCACCTGAGGTAGGTCATTCCTGCCCTTCCCCTGGGCACTGGGAGGCCCTGGTCAGAGATGAGATCCTTCTTAGCTCTTTGTTGTTCTTCCTGTCAGATCTGGAGCTGAGAGACACCTGCAGGGCTCAGGTCACAGGCTGCTCTCCCTGTAGCTGGGGTCAGAAGGTTTTGAATGAGTTTGGTCCTCTTGGGGATTTGGACTTGAAAGACCTGGTGGTGGTGGTTGTGGACAACTGGGAGTGGTGGGGAGTGCAAGGAGCTTCTCAGAAGCCATGTCCACTGGGGTTTAGATTTCTGGTTCTAGGTTCAGATCATATCTTAGCACTAGACCCACTTTCCCTTGGGGCTGGCAGTCAGTGTGACTGAGGGCTTTTCTTCCTCTCTGTCTTCTGCCAGCAAGGTGAAACCCTCACTGAATCTGGATGAAAACTGGAACATCCTTGATAACTGCCTCAAGTGTCTGTTGCTGTGCAGCAGCTGAGACAGGAGGGTGAGACAGCTCAGGACTCTTTGCAAAAACAGATACACTTAAACTGCTGTCTTCTGGCATGACCTGCTGGGGCCCAGTCCCCAGCCTGCTCTGGGCCCTGGCAGTCACCCCTGGCCTCCCTAAAATGGTTTTGCGTTTTATGACACACTCCAGCTGGTCCTGAGCTTCCCTCTTCCATCTCCTGCTTGCAGTCACTGCATGAGTTGTCCATGCAGGCCTTGGGTGAGTTCATGAAGGGCCTCCTTGAAGAAGATCCCACTGAAAGTTGGTTTATGGAGATGCTTCATGTGAGTAACCAGCAGGAACAGGCAGAGCTCTCTTCTTTGGGGAAGGTGGGAATGGGCCAAAGAAACAGGGACGAAGGTTTCCTTCAGCAGGGCAAATGAGAGGGGAGTCTCCCAAGGTGTCTTTGGGGCAATAGACCGTAATTCCCTTGCATCCTATTGACATCTCTAGTAGCTGCACCATCTTGTACCAGGGTCACTCAACAGCTTCTCTGGCTTCAGGGAATTAAAGGTCCACCTGGGATGTATCCAGATGATAAAATAATCAGATTGCTTGGAGGGATTTCAGTGGTGATTTCATAGATTTCATAGACATTAAGATTGAAAGACTGAGTCCAGCTCCCTGCCCCAGGGGCAAGAAGTCAGCTGGTGTCACAGGATCCCAGCAAGATAAATGTCCAGTTGACTCTTGAAGGAGTCTAGAGTAGGCGCTTGCACTACCTCTGGTGGCAGTCTGTTCCAGGCCTTGGGGGCTCAGACAGTAAAGAAGTTCTTCCTTATGTCCAGCCTGAAATGGTCTTGGTGGAGTTTGTGACTGTTTGACCTCGTCATCTCATGGGGCACTCTGGTGAACAGGCATTCCCCCAGATCCTGATGTACACCCCTTATGTACTTATAGGCAGCCACCAGGTCCCCCCTAAGCCTGCGCTTTTCCAGGCTGAAGAGTCCCATAGCTCTCAGCCTTTCATCATAAGGCCTGTTTTTCTGCCCTCTGATCATGCACATGGCTCTCCTCTGGACTCTCTGAAGCTTCTCCACATCCTTTTTAAATCATGGAGCCCAGAATTGGACGCAGTACTCCAGCTGCGGCCTCACCAAGGCTGAGAACAGTGGGAGGATGACATCCTGGGATTTGCTAGAGAAACATCTATGGATGCAAGCCAGAGTTTTGCTCACTTTGCTGGCTGCAATATCACATTGGTGGCTTATATTCATCTTGTGGTCAATCATTACCCCCAAGTCCCTTTCGGCTGTGGTCCTAGCAAGCATATCACTGCTGAGCCTATAAGCATGCTGCGGGTTTTTCTTCCCAAGGTGGAGTACCTTGCATTTTTCAGTGTTGAAGGCCATCAGGTTTTCATCTGCCCATTTTCTGAGCCTGTCAAGGTTGGCCTGGATCACCATCCTATCCTTGGGTGTGGGCACCTTACCCCAAAGTTTGGTGTCATCAGCAAACTTAGCCAGTCCACTTCTGACTCCAATGTCCACATCATTAATGAAGATATTGAAAAGAATAGGCCCAAGGACAGAGCCTTGGGGGACCCCACCAGTCACGGCGTACCACAATGATTGACTTCCATCAACTACCACTCTCTGGGTCTGACCTTGGAGCCAATTCCCCAGCCAGCAGACTGTGATGTAGCCGAGGCTGCAGTTGGCCAGCTTTTCTATGAGATGATCATGGGATACCAGATCGAAAGCTTTTTTAAAATCAAGATATATGACGTCAATCTCTTCTCCCTTGTCCAGGTGATAGGTCACCTGGTCATAGAAGGAGAGTAGATTGGTTAGGCAAGACCTACCCACAACAAACCCATGCTGGCTATTCCTCAGGAAGTTGCCTTCAGCCAGCTTGTCAAGAATAGTCTCTTTCATGATTTTTTCTAAGATCTTCCCCAGGATAGAGGTCAGGCTGATGGGCCCGTATTTCCCCGGATCTACTTTCCTCCCTTTCTTCAAGATAGGCGCCACATTGACCTTCTTCCAATCTTCGGGCACTTCACCTGAGTGCCACAAGTTCTTGAAGATGTGTGCCAGTGGCAGAGCTATGATACTTGCCAGCTCCTTAAGTACCCTGGGGTGTAAGCTGTCTGGGCTAGCTGACTTGAAGGTGTCCAGCCTCTCAAGGTGTTCCTTCACATGATCAACATTGATGAAGGGTAAAAATTCTCCCTTGCCCTGGCTACCCTGTACCATATTGAGCAGGGCCATCCCTTGGGGCTGGTGAAAAACTGACACAAAATACCCATTAAGCAGGTTGGCTTTTTCCTGGGCATCAGTTGTCAGTTGATCCATATGGTTTAGCAGAGGTCCAATGTTACCCTTGCTTTTCCTCTGGCTCCTGCATATCTAAAAAAGGGTTTTTTTATTGTCCTTGATACAATGAACTCCAACTAGCTACACTCCAACTGTGTAGCCAGCTGGAGTTCAGTCACAGCCTTGGCTTTCCTGGTTCACTCCCTACAGGTTCAGACTGGTGCAGAGTGATGGTGATGTCTGCTGTTGAAATGGCTCCTCTGAGCTGTTCTGAAGGTTCCTCTGACAGTAGTTTGCTCTCCCAACAGCTTCTTGAGCCATGGTTCTTCTCTGACAAGGAGTAGGAGAGAGATAAGGCCTTGCAAGCTAGCTCCCAGCTGCTTGTTTCCTTTAGGGAGACAGTCTATTGCAAAGTAAGTATTGTCTAACTTTCTCTTACCTTGATATCCTCATGGCAGTGTCACCTGGAGATGCAGAAAGCTTTCCTAGCAGACAGGGTTCCACAGGGATGCATTCCTGTTTTCACCTTGCCAGGATCATAAACTTGAATGTAACTCTAGCCAAACCCAGGCACACGTCATTCATTTCTTTTTCCTTTTTTCTCAGGTGCAAAAGCTGGGCAAGCTGTTCAAGCAAATTATTCTGGCACACGTCCAGGAGGGGCCAGCAGGGAACTGCATGCTCAGGGGCAACAAGCACGGGTTCATCAGCAGCAGGTCCTGTCAGACCAACCTGGTGGCCTTTTACGACCAGGTCACTAAATCATTGGATGCAGGGGTGGCAGTGGATATAGTTTTCCTGGACTTCAGGAAGGCTTTTGATACTGTCTCTCACCCCATTCTCATTAGGAAGCTGGGGGACTGTGGC